TAGTCGCCTCTTACGACAAGCATGGGTTGCAAAGCTAAACGAAGTAGAAGCATTTTATTGCTCAGTATGACAGGTAAGAGAAGAACGCTGTTAATGTGACTGGGTCCTGAGCTGACGTACACGTGACTGGGCATGAGCTAACATACACGTGACTGGGACATGAGCTGAGATACACGTGACTGGGACATGAGCTGGGATACAGGTGACTGGACATGAACTGAAATGTGTGGCTCAGAGGCAGGAGTTGGGACATCTCTCACATTGACGACGATTTAAATGACACAAACGTGCAGCCAAATATACACCTGTGTTTGATTTCTTGATTACATGCAAAAAGATCAATATTCTCAGTGTGGCGCATATGCATGTTTTTATCGAAATGTTTTACACATGTTGTACTGTTGGCCTGAGCGCCATCTATACGAAATACTGACTGACTGACTGAGTTTGGTTTTACGCCGCTTTTAGCAATATTCCAGCAATATCACGGCGGGGGACACCAGAAATGGGCTTCACACATTGTACCCATGTGGGGATTCGAACCCGGGTCTTCGGCGTGACGAGCCAACGCTTTAACCACTAGGCTACCCCACCGCCCCCTATACGAAATTAAATGATGATGATGATTATCATTTCTTGATTATATGGTAATACGACTGCATATTTACCATGCGTAAACTGAAATATAACACGGTTTTCTTTGAAATTATATTCAGCTTTTAACTGGTTATCTGGAGTCTCCTAAATGTGGTTGTTAGCGGATACCCCTCCAGACACTTACCGTCGCCAGGGTTATTTGAAGGGATCCCTTGCTCTATTGAGACAGCCTCAGGGGGAACGGTCAGTGCTCTCTGTACGGTTGTCAGACACTGCTATCAATGACACTACATCTGTACACGAAACAGAATTACGTGACAATGAATATCAATACTGCATCTATTAGTTTCTCTTAGAGAACATGACTCGGTCAAAATGGTATCATTGTCGTTTTACGTTCCGAAGTACAGCATACAACAGCAAATTTCAGAAAGATCACCACACAATGAACTAATCATAGTATATTGTTAAAACCGACTGGTGTAATTGCGATATTATCTCTGTCGATATTGAAGCTATACACATGAAATAGTTGAAAAATTGAATCATATTTATGACAAATTGCGTAAAGTCACATTTCCTGTAGGCGTTTGAAAGCTGATAGAATGAACAGGCATCGTTTCCAGAATCGTGACTAGATCTGAGATTATCCACCAGAGAAAAAATATAATTATGGTTCTTTTCTGATATACGATAATACTCTAGAGGCGTTTGAACTTTTTAATATTTTGTAAATGGTTCCATGTCTGCGTCAAGTCATGCAAAGACAATGTTGGTGTTTGTTTGTTTGTTTACGCCGCACTCAACAATATTCCTGCTATATGGTGGCGGTCTGTAAATAATTGAGTCTGGGCCAGACAATCCAGTGATCAACATCACGAGCATCCATCAACGCAATTGGGATACGATGACATGTGTCCACCCGATCCCTATGGTTGCTTCTTACGACATGGGTTGCCAAAGACTAAACATGGCATGCAATTGTAGAACGAGTATAATACATTATATATTGTTGTTGTTTTTGTAATGTAATTTGTAAATGTAATTTTTTGCCAAAAAATTCAAATGTATTAAATTTCAAAGATACGATGTCTAACATATCCATCATGAGTTGTGTATTATACCAAACATGTTTTATTTATGTAGGATTAAATCAAATTATATGTAACTAATACATGCATGCAGAAGTATTCTGTGAGATCTAAGTACAGTTCATCCAAGGGAGAATCTCCAACATATGATCAGGTGTGAGGTACAGTTTCCTGTGCTCTTCAGTTCGTGTTGCCCGGTTGTTGGCCACAAGCCTGTAACTGAAGCAGCTGGATGTTGCAGTACCCACCCACGGTAGCAATACGATCTGTTATGTATACTATCCAAAAAAAAGAAACGCATAGGCCGGAAATCCGTTGCGGAAATGTTGTATTTTCAAACATGCATAACTCGTCCACAAATAGACTTTAGTGCATATATTTTTACATCAGTTTAGAAGAAGGTCATGTCTATACAACCAAGTGGATAATTTTAGTTAACAGAGACCTTGAGCGCGATGGCGACGACGTAGCACCGTCCCGACGTCGGGTCTCCTGGCTCTCAGTCCAATCTCTCTCAACCTGTTCCGTACCGTTTGACCGGATATCCTCCGAAGTCCAGGCACACTCGCTGTTGTGCTCTCACCCGTGGCAGTACGAATACGTAAATGTAGTACCCGGATGTACCGATCTTGGGCGACAGTGGTGACTCGAGGTCTGCCTGTAAGGGGACGGTCATTTGTTATACCTGTTTGGTTGTAACGAGCTGCAGGCCGTGATATCCTGTTAAGACTAACATTCAGACGCCTGGCAACAAAAGATTGATAATCTCCAGCTTGCATTCTTTCAATGGCGATGTTCCGTGTCGCAGCGTCAAGACGTGGCGTAGTGATTTGACCTTGAAACTTCTTCAAAACGAATGTCGATTTCCGAAAGTAATCTGGATTTTTATAGCCAGACAGTGTATGCTCTTTGCTGCACAATTTCAACTTCAAGGTGATTTCTGTTGCGTTGTGGCGATCCCTTTTTAACCCTTGTAAGAAATCCCATCAAAATCAACATTTTCAGGTAAAATCGATTTTTGACTTGCACAATTGTGTAAAATCATGTTATGAATACTTTTGTTACATATTTTGACGATTGTTTGAACACAAAAGAAAATTAATAGATTTTTATAAATACAAAATGCCTATGCGTTTCTTTTGGGATAGTACATTTCGTTTCAGTGAGTGAGTGAGTGAGTTTAGTTTTACTCAGAAATATTCCAGCTATATGGTGGCGGTCTGTAAATAATCGAGTCTGGACCAGACAATCCAGTGATCAACAGCATGAGCATCGATCTGCGCAATTGGGAACCGATGACATGTGTCAACCAAGTCAGCGAGCCTGACCACCCGATCCCGTTAGTCGCCTCTTACGACAAGCACGGGTTATTGAAGATCAATATTCTAACCCAGACCTTCACGGGTATATTTCGTTTCAGACCCAGAAATAAACCAAAATACAACACTATACCACATACCCCTAGGTCATGGTCCTTCATAAAGGAGGGATTGGGGAAAGAGGGTTTCGTATTTTGCTGATTTCATGTAATATTTTTTCATGGCAGCCTCTGCTAAACAGGTAAATAATGTACATATTTAAGACTATTTTATTTGATAAAAACGTCTTTTTTATGTGATGTGACATCAACCCTCGCAAGCTCACATGTTTATAACAGTTTAGTTCAAACACAATTTCTACTTTTCACATACATCAAGTAAAACAAGTGGTCTCAATCTATATCCAGGACGACCTAGTGGACAATTATTTCGACAAATGCTGGACAACATATCTTGACAGTGGTACTGTGATGCCACTTTGTATGACATCAATATTTTGTGCTGTGCCTGTATGTCAGACTGAGCTGTATATTGGCGGATCCTGGCACGGGTAATGCCTATGTGACCTCACTCTTCCAACTCTACAAATCAATATAGGACTCTACACCACTACATACATGTCACCTGGCTGCGCCACTCAGTCTTCCAGGTACACCAGTAATATCCACACCCCTCACTGCGTCAACACTGTACAATTTATGGCTTAAGCAACGTATGAGTTAGCATTCTTTTTATACATAACCGAGCATTTGTCTCGGGTCAGTGTCTCACTGACACAACCTTTTAGGGCAATGATTTTTTCACCAGGGATTAAACACGTTGTTAGCTATAAAATCATACCCCACCAACACCCATTGAGGGATAAAAAGCAATTTCATGTTGGCTTTATGGCCACGGCCTTGGAAATACTAAATAATACTTCAGAACAAAAAAACAATGTTGTTGCCAAATATTGACATTAAATGGGGAGTAACCTGTTCGTTAGTAATATTACCAAGTATTGATTGAAAGACAAAGCGACTTAGTTAGGACTTGTCTCATTGCCTATTGATTTGGGCCACGTTGATTGTGTATGGAAGCGTTCTGGCGTCCAGTGCCGTGTTACGATGTAATCTGGACATCAGGTGTAACACGGGGTGGTCATCAGGGCTGATGGTCATCACTGGACGGGTCAGATTACTACACACCATGTATCATGTAGGACGTATTTCAATGGAATGTCGCATTTGTGGAAAGGGTTTCGTTGTTTTACCTCCCGATACAGTGTCAGTTTCACGGTTATCTTTGTTGTCTGTGGTATGTGTGGTAGTAGATATCGCTAATGGATGTGACTGAGTCCGTTCAATCAAGTGGTAGTGATATTATCGGATAGCATTTTACTGGGAAACAATACACAGGGAATTGCCGGTCCTTACGTTTATCAACTTGTTCTTTTGTTTCGATATGTCGTGCGTTATTGAAACGGGACATGCTTGAATAACCGTTAATAGAACAATATTTCGCGCTGTTTAAGTGCGTATCTGCATTTATAAGGCGACTGGCTCTCTCTGTGTCTCTCACCTAAACCAATCGCTCTCTCACTCATACTGGTGTTCAACTAACTCACTCGTTCTACACACCAAGATACACGCGTGGGGGCAATAGAACATTCCTACACTGAATACAAGCATGTCTACTTTTACAGTCAGCTGATGTCTGCCCTTTTACAGACAGCTGATGTCTGCCCTTTTACAGTCAGCTGATGTCTGCCCTATTGCAGACAGCTGATGTTTGCCCTTTTACAGACAGCTGATCAATATTCTACAGAGAGAATGTGTATCCACCTTGCTTGTTGCATTTATTATGTGCCGCAGTTTACGATATTCGAATCATATCCTATGTCAGATAAGCATAGGTTACTGCGGACCTATCCCTACAGTCAAGCTTGGGATCTATTCTCACCTGGAATCACCCGAGGAGTAACCTAGCGTCTTATAAATGACACGACAACAGCTACAGTATATATTTTTAGTGTTCAAAAACTGTACAACTACAGTTCAGCTTCATGACAATATTAAGGAGAAACATTCAGTTGCAGAGCTCTTCCGGTATTGTTAATTACATTAGTATGACGATGAGGAGTGAACAGCAGTATAATTACAGTGGAATAATGACCAAAGTCAGGGCAAGCAAAGTATTTGTACCCTCAAAGGTTTAATGTTGGCTAAAAATGAAAAACAAAACAAAACAAAAACAAAACAAAACAAAACGACCCCGGAAATGGTTGTTCGAATGGATGCATTTGATACGGGTATATTAATGTGTTTGGACTTCAGCTGGGTAAGTGCTTCGGTAAGTATTTTCGGCCTAGTAATGTGTTACAAAATATATGATACTTTATGTATGACAACTTCTTTATGACATTATGATGCGCCGTTTCGGTGTGCATTCTTATATGATTGTCAAGCAAGAGTGATGGACTCTCTTGCAAGACTGTCTTGCTTGATAACGCTATAAGAATCTACACCGAAATTATGATATAATAAATACTCTCCCATAAAGTCTCACACCTTCCTTATTATTTCTTATCATTCGTCAACTTTTAAAATGCCACCGAAATAGATATTGTAACGTATTGTTAACGTTCCTTGGGGTCAATCCAAGTTTCTGGTTAAACTTTGCTTTGCCCTGAAGTTTAGTTTTGGTCTCAGAATGGTTCTATACAGTGCCACAGTGAAACCTTGTTATTACGACCCTGTTACTCCGGACACCCCTCAATCCGGACGATTAATTTTGGGAACGTGTACATATATACAGTGAATGAGTTGAGTAACATATCAGTTGTATAACGGGGTGGCAACTGTATGTGGGAGGAAAGCCCTGAGCCAGGTTGTGGTGCTGACAAACCTAGAATTTGGGATTCGAACCCATGACAGTAGGTTTCTGTGCACGAATGATAGGCAACTCAGGATAGCAAGTTGCAGTGAAGACTGGGCCAACCAGGTCACAATACACATATACACACACATTAGGTATACATACAACTCATTTTAATATCGCAATTAGGAGTATTTCACTGGGAACAATACTGTCCTTGTAAACAAGGTTTCACTGTGGAAATGTTCCCTACTGTTTCAGCAATGATTTTACGTTCTTGTATCAGACACAGTAACATTCACAACACGGTTCACCATTTGTAGAAAAGGTAACATGGTTCAGTCATCACAGCGTATGTACATGGAATAAAGTAGCAAAGGCTCATAAATACAGCATACACATTATATTACATAACAATCAACAGTCACATATTTGTGCTATACTTTGGCAGATCATTCATTCGTACAATCATGCTCACGTGCACGATTCGGATGAAGGAGATTGTCCACAGTTTTTTTCAGCCTCAAAAGACGAAAAAAATTCCAATTTTTCTCTCAGGTATTGACATGCGCTTCCTCTTCAAGACGGATTGTACACTGGCAAATGCTCAATTTGATTGTTGAATTATTGTCTTTTTCCAACAATAACCGGGTGCTCGGCTATGTGTTTTATCATGTTGACCTTGACCTCAATATAGATCGTCAACTCTTTGACCTTGACCTTCACAGAGGTCAAGTCCTCTCTGTCACGTACTTGAATGGGTTCAGCAGCTCTATGCTAAACGCTGTGACAGTCAATGCCTAGCTTCTCACACTCGAATCGAGTGTTCACAATCACCGATCACCAGTTTCACAGCGATCACGCACCTCAGGGCTGGTTACCCCATCAACAAGGGACCTTAACACAGATGCCTGTGCTAAGAAAAATAAGCCGCGCCTCTTCCGTTCGCCCCAGAGTGATTGGCATAGACCTGTATCTCAGTGTTCCTGTCGTACACGTCGTGGACCGTCGACTCATCCTTGTCCATGTCGCTGTGGTAGGTGGCTGTCTTTGTCTGTAACCAAAAGCGAATGAGTGAGTATTGTTTTATGCCAAAGTTACAAATAACCCCGAACATTACGACGGGGAGCACCGGGAATATGCTTCACACATTGTTCCCATGTGGGGAATCGAACTTGGTTCTACTCCACCGCCTCTTTAGTCGATAGCTACAACGTACATGGAAGAACGAAAGTAGGAGTGAGTGAGTTTAGTTTTACGCCGCTTTTAGCAATATTCCAGCAATATCACAGCGGGGGACATCAGAAATGGGTTTCACACATTGTGCCCATGTGGGGAATCGAACCCGGGTCTTCGGCGTAACGAGCGAACGCCTTAACCACTAGGCTACCCAACCGCCCAAACGTAAGTAGGATGATAAATGAGTAAATGGGTCTTTTAATGTCCAGTGATAACAGTGATCGTACAAGAAAGTTGGCAGTGTATGTTGAGAAGTCTTTGCAATTGAGAACAAATCTGTTAATGTAGGCTCACGCCGAAGACCCGGGTTCGATTCCCCACATGGGCACAATGTGTGAAGCCCATTTCTGGTGTCCCCCGCCGTGATATTGTTGGAATATTGCTAAAAGCGGCGTAAAACTAAACTCAGTCAGTCAGTCAGTCAGTCAGTTAATGTAGGCAATGAGTATTGTGGCTGCTGTACAAGTGCTGTGTCATGGGCCGATGGTCCTACGTCCTTGTTGAATATACCATTTGAGTTAACATCGCAGCACTGTGACACAGTTATGTATGACTGTTGTGTATTACAGCACCCACTCTGTGCCACTTAGTGTGAGGCATTGGAAGCTGCACGTACACCGGTATCTCAGTGCCAGAAACCGTTACTGCGTCCTGCCAATGTTGTCAACACACGCCTGATAACCATGAAGACATTGAACAGGGAACAACAGCAACTGACAAAGGACGATGTTGATATGCCAGTTTGATATGACACATTTGAAATACATTAAATAAAACCCACTGAAATACTGCTATGGACATCGTCAAAAGGATAAACGAACGTTGTTTTTCTTTCTGACACGTCAACGGTTCATAGTTACGGCATGATCACGTGTAAAAGCTGAAAGGTGTGGATTGGGCTGATTTCAAAACTAGTACAAAGAAGTTCGTGATGGAGATTTTTTTACCACGATGATATGTCGTCCTCTCTTAAAAGTTGTTTAGGAACAAAAATAAAGTTTTGACAACGTTATATCGAGACATTTCAGTCTTACTTATACTTAATGTCCAAAACATAAAAAACCCATTAATATGAACCAAGTCGAATTCATTTCTATATACTGGTAACTTTTCAATGATATTCGGGCGCTTGGGTGGCCCAGTGGGTAAAGCGTTTGGTCGTCACGCTGAAGATCCAGGTTCGATTCCCCACTTAGGTACAGTGTGTGAAGCCAATTCTGCTGCCCCCCGCCCTGATATTGCTGGAATAATGCTAAAAGCGGCGTAGAACCATACTCACTCACTCATTGAGAATGGTTTTGCTAATTTTATCAATTAAACCGATCCTGTGGGTTAGAAAGGTGTTCTATCATACTGTGTCCATTCAACGTGATATGCCCAAAATGACCTTGACCTCGACCCTCGAAGTCGCTCATCTTTTGGCGAACACCTGGCGTCATTGTTTTCATTTGTTTTGCTGCTATTATTTAAATACAAGAATGTGTACAGAGTGACTGATTTCATTCTGTTTCAAGGCAATATTACTATTAACTGTGAAACACTCATTCACACATAATAAATCGTGCAGGAATGGAATTTACAAAGCTTAGCTTGATCCCTGCCCTGCCCTGACACGAACGGAATATGTGATCATGTAATTGATGATCATATCAGCATAGCATCTCGCCAGATGACATCATACTGATAACCTGTAAAGGCTAACGGTACATAATTGTCACCTGCACTGGTGAATGGTGAGGTCAGATCATTTTAACTGGGATGAAAGACGATAGTTGCCATAATGGAGGTTTATTACAATCATGGTTCATTCGCCGACACAAATAGCGACTGATTCATATGACCTAACAGATGAGGTCTTCAGTTAGGAGCGATTTCAACTGCATCTGTTTTATAGAAATACAGCTGTAACCTAGTGGTAAAATACTTCGTCAATACGCCGAAGCCCTGGGTTTGATTCCTCGCATGGTTCCATTGGTGGTGATCATTAATGGTCTGCCATGGTATGACTATGGTTATGCTAAAGGTGATGTAAATGACGACTCGGGGCGGTGGGGTAGCCTAGTGGTTAAAGCGTTGGCTCGTCACGCCGAAGGCCCGGGTTCGATTCCCCACATGGGCACAATGTGTTAAGCCCATTTCTGGTGTCCCCCGCCGTGATATTGCTGGAAAATTGCTAAAAGCGGCGTAAAACTAAACTCAGTCAGTCAGTCAGTCAGTAAATGACGACTCGTTGACACAGTTCCCTTTACATGCTGTTATGTTATCGTGTGTTTAGTTTAGGTTTTACTTTGCTTAACGCTGCACTCAACAGAATTCCTGCATTTAAATATTCTGTAAATATTCAAAGACCAAACTATCCAGTGATTGATATTATGAGCATTAGTCTACGCAATTGGGATTCGACATAGTCTTTACTTCAGTGAACTTGATCGCCCGATCCCGTCAGTCGCCTGACACGACAGGCAGTTGCTGAAGACCAATTCTATCTTCAGAGGATCATTCAGCATAGGTACATGATGCTATATTATAGTCATTACGACTAACATTATAATTGGTACTTTTGTAATTATTTTGACTATATGATGAACGTACCTTCTTTATTCTTGGCCTGGAAATACAGAACTTCACAAAGCAGAGTATCCCAGAGATCCCGACCCCACCGGCGAGGACCAGGAACATGCCAGCGACGTTCTCCACGTCCAGGGACTTGGTCTTGGCGCTAGCCCGGGCGTCAGGGAGGCAGAACTGGGGTCGCCACCATCTACAACACAAACGTTATTTAGGAGAGTTTGGGTGGTTTTCTAAGAAACACATTTTCTGTGCTTTACGTTTGCAGGTATTGATTAACAGAAAGGTCAATTAGGAGACAAAATTTAAGTGTTTTCAGTTTGCAGGTATCTATAAAACACAAGCATGAGACAAGAGGTGGATTTCATGAGTTTTCAGTTAACAGGTATTTATGAAACACAGACATTATATAACAACAGGATTTGATGTGTTTTAAGTTCACAGGTATTTATGAAACAAGCGCTATATAAGAAATGGATTTTATGTGTTTTAAGTTTGCAGGTCTTTATGAAACACAAGCGTTATGCAGGAGATACACTTTAAGTGTTTCCAATGTGCTTGAATTTACGGAACAGAAATGTGAATTAAGAGACAAACTTTAAGTGTTTTCAGTTTGCAGGTATTTATAAAACACAAGCATTATACAACAGATGGATTTCATGTATTTTAAGTTTGCAGGTATTTATGAAGCATTAGCATTATACAACAACTGAATTGCATGTGTTTGAAGTTTATTGTATTTATGAAACATAAGCATTATACAGGAGATGGATTTCATGTGTCTTAAGTTTACAGGTATTTTTGAAACATAAGCATTATATAAGAGATGGATTTCGTGTTTTTTTTCAGTTCAGAGGTATTATAAAACACAAGCATTATATAACAATTGGATTTCATATGTTTTCAGTTCACAGCTATTTATGAAACACACGTATTTTATAAGAAATGGATTTCATGTTAAGTATGTTTTAAGTATGTAGGTATTGTGAAACACAAGCTTTCTATAGCAGATACACTTTACGTGCTTTCAATTTGCAGCTAATTATGATTATTAGTTGCCCGGAAATGTCATTTGGAACATTAAGAGTATCAACCGGAAGTATTACAATGGTAACATTTCCGGCTATCAAATATTCACTAATTCCCGCAAATCCGAACATCCAAAACGTTCATCAATATTGTAAACTGCGAGAGTAATTACACTTTACTGGTAGAAGCTTTCCCTCCATGTTGACTCACAGTTGTGACACAGACATGACTCGGCACGTTTTTCTCACAAATTTGGGTTTGAGAAAAACATCCTTCACGAATTATTCCTGATCTAACCCCATTCAACCCTTTTAAACAGCGTGCAGCACACATAATAATCCTATCCTATAATTATGCCAATAATTAAAAAAAACCATACAGATTGTTTGGCAGCGTAATTTAGATAAGTGCTACGTCCTCAGATTGACCTGCAGTTGTTTGATGAAGTACTATAAATACGTGTAATGTCCACGACACTCTATGCAGTGAATGGGTGAGTTGTTCCCGTGAGAACGCTGATCGTTACAGCATTCACATTTCACTAAAATGCTTAGGGAAACAATAGTTCGAATCTTTATATTTTCCTATCCCAGTTCACAACTCACCATGCCATTTTCTAACCCCCCTAAATAGCCAACAACAACAAAGCAAACTAAATTATAAGAGAGGCACAGATAATCTCAGGTTAGCGACATCATTTGAAATATCTTTAAATAGATTCATGGGGACCATCCAATTAGTTTTAGACACGATATTGGGTGAGTGAGCTGTGTTTTACACCGCTTTTAGCAATATTCCAGCAATATCACGGCGGGGGACACCAGAAATGGGCTTCACAAATTGTACCCATGTTGGGAATCGAACTCGGGTCTTCGGCTTGACGAACGAACGCTTTAACTACTAGGCTACCCCACCGCACCCACGATACTAGGGATTAGTGCAATTAGAGTAATTAAATCGTCTTAAACTAGCATTCGAATTGCAGCAGTGAGACGTACGCTTAACATTTCATTGAATTTTTTATCGATTATAATTTGGCGTTTAATATTAAGCTCCCTATCGGTAGGATAATTTTACCACATATTGAAAATCTGTCTTGATGCAAAGTTTTGTCATAGAACCACGTCCGTTCAACAATTTGACGCTAGTCGAAACATTATCGCCATGGTCAGCACAGTACAAACATTAAGGTTACCAGTTATCCCCATTTAGTTTCATACAGCTTGACATTATTGACGTGTTACGAGTAACGTAATCTTCCTGTCCAAAGAAAGTCTACACCCATGTGTGATGGCGGCTAAAGTATTTTACAAGAAGTAGGTATTCGATTGTGGTGTATTTGTTACCGGTTTAGTTATAGTCATGCTTTGGAGCTAACGTTTGTTTTGGCGACTGCTTTCTGTCCAGTAACGTATTCATGAGGTCTGTGCTTGTTACGTCTGTGCTGAATTACGATCGTTTTGTGAAATCCTGATTTAATTGTACGCCTTCTTTTTTGCTCAGATCAGAGTGAAAACAGGGTCATCCTTCTCATTGTCATGAGTGAAAAAAAGGATGGCAAAATGAATGAATCAACTCGCAGCTACAAACTCGCAGCTACCAAGACGAGGAGGTGATTTCAGTTTGTCGATTTGTAACTTAACCTGGTCTTGCATGTTAAGAACAATCATTATTTTAGTTTATACTTAGAGTCATTGATGGAATGAGAGAGTGAGTTTAGTTTTACGCCGCTTTCAACAATATTCCAGCAATATGGCGGCGGTCTGTAAATAATCGAGTCTGGGCCAGACAATCCAGTGATCAACAGCATGAGCATCGATCTGCGCAATTGGGAACTGATGATATGTGTCAACCAAGTCAGCGAACCTGACCACCAGATCCAGTTAGTCGCCTCTTACGCCAAGCATGGGCTACTGAAGATCAATATTCTAACCCGGACCTTCACGGGTCCATTCATGGAAGATGCTGGGGAGGAGTAGAACAGAATCTATGGATAGTTTTTTTCCTGGTCATAAATAACAATTATTTCTTTCTTTGAAAGAAGGATCTGAACAACATGAAAAAATACTCGACGCTTTTTATTCCCAGCGCTCTAGCCAGTATTCTTTCATCATAACACCTTAACCAAATATATTATATATTTTAGTATAACCAGTATAGGCACTCCAAAACTGTGTTACAGTGCTGCGATTTTGTTTATTATCACACTGACGCTCTTGGTGTACATTGCAGCCATTAAAGAAGTTAAAGGGGCGGTGGGGTAGCTTAGTGGTTAAAGCATTTGCTCATCACGCAAAAGGCCCGGGTTCGATTCCCTCATGGGTACAGTGTGTGATATTGCTGGAATATTGCTAAATATCACGTAAAACCGAACCCAGTCACTAAGAATGTGTAGCTGGCAGACCCAGATAGAACACGGTACTTACTTTCGTTCAATACTGTAGATAACACCCTCATCAATCAGTCGAAGTATCGCCAAGGTAATAGCTTCTCCAAATTGCGCATTCTTTGTGTATGCTATCCCGTACCCTTTCAGATCAAACGGATGACCAATCTGCATCAGCTGGCAGTCTCCAGATATCTCATGTGTTATTGTAGGGGAATCCCAAATGAACGCATACCGACCCGAGTTGACCCTTTCAAATCCATCTTCAACTCTTCTCACAATCGACTGTGGGCGAAGCGCAGACATATGTGCCCACATTTTCTGATAATCAGTCATTTTAGTATGTTCAAAGAAGTACTCAATTTGGCTACCGTCCACGGTGCCGTATTCGTAATAGTCTTGGTTTGCTAAATCAGCAGCAGAGTTGATGCCGACATTGGAATTGGTAATTGTCAGAAAGGCTGCCAGATTGGCGGTATATAGGGATATCAGGATAAGGCAGAAAAACCACCAGGCACTGGCCACAATGCGACTGGAGATTGCATGAGGAGCTCCAACTAAGCTTCCCCTCAATAAGGTCCCCCAGATATACCAGAAGCTTTCTCTCAGGTTGTAGGTGTACTTCTGCTGTCTGTCCGAGTTGACTCGACTCACACTGAACAGCACCAGGCTCACGATGAGGAAGGAAAAGAAGATGGCAATCCACACCTGATCAGTGAAGGGGGACAGGAACTGGAACACTTTCAGACCTGTCTCGTCTGGTTTCTTGATTACAACAGTAGTTCCTTTCGTCATGAATGGCTTCGTGAAATCAACAACTACTGATCTAGACGGCGTGATCTGGAACGGGGCAAGGGCCACATCAGCTTCCTGAAATTACAATATGGTGTTGATTATAGAGGTAATTCTCTAAGAACACATTTGAACTGTTCGGTGGATCAAGGTTATACTCATTTGGTCCGGAATCGTGCTTTTTCTCATCGTGGAGGATATTCACTACTATGTTCTACTTTTATTCAAAAGGTCATTTTATGAAGGATGTTTCCAGCGTAACGTCAATATCAAATAATATCATTATTTCAAACTTTTATTCGTACAAACGATGGGTCAATACTTCATGATCAGGCGGATAGGAAATGCAAACACCTGATATCATGATTGCAGCTTGACAGTGATTAATACATTCAGCTGTCTTGTTTCCTATTTTTCAGTCATGCCAAAATATGCGCATTGGCGTTTAATAAGTAGGGCTGGTGAAATTCGTATGCCTGTCAGCCAGTGGTTACAAGGTTCACTCGTCACACCGGAGGCCTGGGTTCGATTCTTCAAACAAGCCAAATATAAGAGGCTCATTTCATGTTTCCGACGCGATATTACAGCAAAAGGAAATATTTGTGAAATATCTATTAATAAACCTTCTCTCGCAGCACACGCCAGATGTTGATGGTACCAATAATGATGGGAAATAATAATAATCTATTTTATTTGATCTCGTCACACGTTTGCGATGCACTTTGGCTGAAATTGTAGATGCAAGTCATGACATGACGTAGATGTTGCTTACGTTTTCTAACAGTTGTCTGACCATCCCCGTCCAGCCGTACGACTTCTTACTGCCAAACTTCCCATCAGGTACCAATGACACGTTGTACTCGAACTGGAGGAGTTTACTGATTTCTTTTAAGATGTCGATAAGATGCCCCTCAAACTCCCCGGTGTCCCGGTTCCGTTGTACAAACGGCGGCTCCTGAAATGTTTAAAGACTCTACAGAAAACAAGCATACGTGTACTCTTCGAGATTCCAAACTGAGTAAAACCAAATTCATTACGAAGTCATTGGGTATAACGCAATAACCTTTCTTAACGATACACTTTGTATCGTCACAGAATTCAGCGATCCATGCATAAAGTTTTCAATCACTATTTTGGTCCTTTAACTCTCAATGAAATCATTTTCGGCAGGTAACGGACACTAATTACTATCGGGCGTTAACTTTTTGAATCCGACATTAATACATGTAAACGAAGAATGATTTAATCATTGCGAAACTGTCGGGTAAAATAGACGCTCACAAAAATGTGATGGAGGTTTAAATCATCCTTATGGTGATCATATAATGGTGATGTATGTTTTTAACAGGCACTATAGTTTTACATTTGAAGTCTGCAGCGTTTAGGCGACTGGCGTCAACATAAGATAACGTTTGTATGTTTGTTATTGAATCCAATATTATATCCACCTTTACCCGCCAGGTAGGATTATTGTGAGGGGGTTAAATATCCGAATACCTGGAAATTGAAGCATGAAATATGTATGTATCACACTGTATAGAAACAGACTTACTATTTTAGTAGTTACTCTGAGTTTTCGTGGAGGGAAGACGTTGCCCTCGATTCTGACGCTCTTGCTGTAGGTCTTGGAGCTAGCTATCCTGTCCTTCAGCTTGTCGTGGATATTTGTCCACATCCCAGTCTATCAAATGAAAAGATTTGTCTCAACTAGTTTTCAATAGTAAAAATCTCGTTTGGAAATGATAATGATAATTGGAACATTGTTATTACAATTAACTGAAACCAAATTTTGCAGAGTCAGCAGAAACAGTAATGAACACACAGCAGGTTTACATGTGTATGGTGACAGTAAAGACGGCTTGTGGCCTCAGGGCATGCAATCTGAGTAATAGTCATTGGAAGATACATCACATCACATCGTCTTTACTGACCTGGGATGGCAATGGTACGGGATATCTGAAATTGCATGTCTTGGGTATGCCAGTGTCGAGTAAATAATAAATCGTGTTAACAGCAGCTTCAAGTAATAGTTTAATACTGTTCCTACGAAGACATGTATGTATGTAAGTGTGTATATTACACACACATATATACACACAATACTGTAACAGAATCACCTCCAGTCACACACACAATAAGACACTGTCACACTAAAGTTGACATTCACATACACACACACGAACACACAAACAACAACGCTCACACAAGGTCAAACAAACCCACGTGTGTACAGCTGGACTCCCAATACAAACACTCACACATACACACAATACTGCAACAGAATCACATCCAGTAACACACTACAACACACCCTGTCACACATACGTTGACATTCACAATATACACACAAACGTTGACATACACACACTCAGACGAACGTTGACATTCACCCACATATACACTCACACAAACGTTGAGATTCACACACATACACACTCACACAAACGTTGACATTCATACGTACACACACCCACACAAACGTTGACATTTACACACTCACACAAACGTTGACATCCACACACATACACAATCACACACACATTGACATTCACACATATGTACACTCACACAAACGTTGACATTCACACACATACACACAACGTTGACATTCACACACACATACACTCACGCAAAAGTTCACATTCACACACATATACACTCACACAAACGTTGACATTCACACACATATACACTCACGCAAACGTTGACATTCACACACATATACACTCTCACACAAACGTTGACATTTACACACTCACACAAACGCACACACAAGGTCAAACAAACACGTGTAAACACTCATTCAAAATACAAACGCTCTCACACAAATAAACATCAAACAAACATGCACTCACACACACGCACGCACAAACGCGCTCACGCAGACATTCACGCACACAAACATACTAAGAGCCGGTGTCTGTGAAACTATGGTCGACTGCAGCCAAGGAAGCACTCATCTACTGACATTCACCTAAGGTTCAGTAGCACAAGCAAGTAATAAACGATCTTGAATATACAAGTGAAGACACCGGCACACTAATTAATATTGCAATGCGATTATGTAAGATTTATGCACATTCATTCCATATATATGTATATTAGCCCGGCAACAGGCATCAGCCGGTAAGAGACTATAGAAATAAACTACCACACAAGTGTCGCGAAACAATTATTGTTCTAGGTACATGCGAACCGAAAACATCACAGGGAAATATAACAGAGCATTAACAAAATTATGTGAGTAAATATTATTGAAATAGTTGTCATAAATGCAATGTTAGTAGTGTAATACGTTGACATCAGTAGAGCAGCAATAGCTGTTCTTATTCTTTGTTCCTTGCTCATATTATCTGACACATATGCATATTATTTGAAAATATATGTAGGCTAATAGTAATAAAACATGTTAAACAGGTATGAGTGTGTTATACACGATTCAAAACAATGCTTATTAAGGGTATGCCGTGCTATAACCTATCAATATTGCATACCTCGCTAGGAACTAACACACCCGATCGTGTACATGCATGATGCTGCTATCTTCTGCCTGGCGTTCAGGAGCAGTTAGAAGGGTAAACACAGACAGAAAAAACAAAACAATAGCAGAATGGGAGTGGTAAGTAATCACTAATGTTTCCATAATTATGCTGGAATTTCCCTGTTTTGAAAAGAACTACCTTTTTAGTTTAGGCATAACAAAATATATATTAATAACAAATTGAAAAATACACCTGTTTGATTTTGTTCATTATTTTCCATTCTTAATACTATGCAGTAGTTTACATTATCAAATATATTGATTCATCAATGTGGCACTTTTCTTTGAAATTGAAACCCAAAATATATTTTTAACATTGAAGAATATTCAAAATTTTAAGTTCATAAACTTGGAACTTCAAAAGAGTAAGTTTGCATATGAACCTGAAGTACTTGGTACAAGTGAAGGACAACAGAAAGAAGGGTCTGAATGAGGGTAAAGATTGTCATTCTTGATGATATCAGGCTGTATGGCTGTCTATAAACTATAGCAAACACCTCTACTTGGCCGCGTCCACACCAGTGGAGGACAAAGCTTATATATAACGACAAGCAGATTACATCGGAGCTCTAGTTACCCCTCGTGGATCAAATGTGATTTTCCTCTCTCTGCCGTCCTTAGTTTCGTAAAGGTGGGAATCATAAAAATGTCCCTCCAGCGGGTCCTTTAGCAAAATACTTGAATATTATATTTTTAAGTAGCATTTATTAAAACTGTATCAACGAAAACGGCTGGCTTATGGATTTCAACTTCTATATTCTCTAAATGCAATGCGACCTTTTGGTAGCGTTGATTTGTTTGTTTGTTGTTTAACGCCGCACCCAGCAATATTCCAGCTATATTCCAAGGCAGTGTATAAATAATCGAACCTGGACCAGACAATCCTATGATTGAGATTATAAACAAAGAGCCAGGCCGAACAGTCCCATCTGCCATCTCTGTCAATCGCATGAGGACACGATTATGAAGATCATGTATATGTAACATTGATCTTCACGGGGTACAGTAGTACTTTGATCAAGCAAATGACTTGATCATGGTGTTCCAGTCGTTGATCACAACGTTGATAACGGTACTATCATCTTTACCGAAATGTCGTATTGAAAGAATACAGAAGTTGAAATCCACAGGTCGAGTATGTTTTACTTGAACAATAGAAGCAATCATTTCCCAGAATCTATACTCCATAACCGTTACATATATACACAATGTAATCTTCAAAACCAACGTCCTTTCATGACAAATTTGAATATATCAATTCAAATAAAGCGAAAGAATTTTAAAAAATCAGAAATCTAATTATAAATTAAACAAAAGACGATGAGTAAAACTAAATCTACAAACAATGAAAAGTACAAAAAATGGTCTCTGTTCTACAACTTTTGAAAAGTAGTAATATATATATCACCAAAAACACTTCGAGAACCCATGTTATTCTAAGCTACTCAATGTAAGAACCATATAAGTGAAACAATAGGTTGGAATATATTTGTGAATATGATAACATACAAAACGAAGTATAAGTTGTGGTTATATTAAACCGGAATCACCTGGTTAGTTTTAAAGGCTTGCAAAGTCATTAATTGAAGATATTTCTCTGATCGTCTTCCTCGTCCATTGAACTCTAGGTATCCAGTGCAGCCATGGACTCGACGCTGAAATATATGGGACAGTATTGAAGGACCACTTGCTTGACAACGACATTAGAATCTATGTCGAAACGTCGCCTTCATAGAACAAAGAAGTTGTATATCCATAAAAATAATCCCCATTCTTCATCTACCCAACTTCTAGAATGCCAATCAAGGAAGTATTGAATAGTGTAACTCCCATCTGAGTTGTAGGTCAGTTATATCACCTGTAAATGTAATGGGATCGACCACTGCAATATTATTGGTTACAAAGAAAATGGACTTTGAAAAAGTCGAAAGTCTGTGGGACTATGCACTCCCATGCCTACTCTCTTGAATAACAAAACGTGCCATTCGTGTTGGTAAATTCGATACAACGTTTATTAATATTTAGTTTGATTAACATATATTAGCATTGATTCAGATGGGTTTTTTGACACATACTGAAGCTATCATAACGTGACGTCAAGCCTTCAAGTGACGTTATGTCTGTCTCACAACGTAGATGGAGAGTGCATAAGAAAATTACTGATGACGTCTATATTTTAGCTGGAAGCTTTTCCAAAATACATTGCGGTATAAAATACTCACAATCCCACAATCCACACTATTTTTAACCTCTGTGCCAGCTACTTGTGTAGGGGTTGTGGGGATTGAGACCACTTGATCTAATGGGTCTGTTTATCGCTAACAAAATCGAAAGGCTACATTGTACCTCTTGAAACTATTATAGAACATCAGTGCAAAATCCTTCCGGTGGTGTAAAGGGAAAATAGCTGTGAAAATTATATGGATTGATCACTGAAACTCAGTGATGACACCGGGTGTTCGCGAAATGGGTAAGCATGTCCCGCCCTACCGGTCATCGACGAACAGCAAAATCCAGTTGGATAATTTAATTACGCCTGCTGGGTAGAAGTACAGAAATTCCCCTGCTTATAATATGGAAAAGCACGCTTTGCATTTTTTGTCATTAATGTAAGTATCCCCGGAATGGCTTGTGTTCACTTTGTAAGTGGGAACACACATGTAGCTATCCTGGTTAAATAATAATCGCCTTAGTTCGATGTTCTATTTCAGATGAGCACTGCAGTCGGATTTTTTTAAATGACACTGATCTATGACAAAAAAGACTCTCTTATCAAACATTATCTTACAGATTTTTAACCCCTTCTAAACATGGATCAGCCTCATCAACAAACCATCAATGTTCAGTACCTCCTGAGCCAGAATCTTGTCAGGGAATCTGCACCTGTCTACGATTTGAATGACATCTTACCTCATTAATTCTTTTCCTGACTCCGCCGGAATTGTTTTGAAAAAGTTCCCAGTAGCTGTAACAGTACTGGATGCCGTCGTTGAGTACCGCGTTCCGCAGGTTGATGTTGTCCATCCCCAGGCTGCACGCGCTGGAGTTCATGTCCATCATCATCCGCAGGATGGTCAGGTTGGCCTTGGAGTCCACGAAGTCAGCCATGTCGTACTCGTCCAGCCCCTGCAGTGAGTGAGTGAGTGAGTGAGTGAGTGAGTGAGTGAAGGAGTGACTGAGTGGAAAGTAGGCTTCTGTATATCGATGAGTGAGTGAGTGGTAGGGTGGCTTCTGTGTAACATGTGGGTGGTTGAATAGAGGGTGGGTTCATTGGACGGGTAAGCGCGTGGATGGATGGATGGGTGGATTAGTGGAAGTGGGGACGGTTGGTTTAGAAGTGGTTTCTTCGCTATTTTATTTTAACCTAACATCTGCGGTTCAATGACCTCATATATACTAAACAAGAAAGTTATTCCTGCGTCAAAATAAAGCTCGCTTGACATTTAGTGAAACTCATTTAATTTCTTGTTAAGGGGATACGAAAATTAATACTCTTTAGGCACTTTTGAAATAATAATACCAGTCTCACCTGTCTTAAGATCACCTTGTTTTCTCGACATTGCTGGTATTTCAAAAGTATAATATCATATTTACATGAATATCAGATTGCCATGAGACTGACATCACGTTAATGTATCAAGTAAAATATTGATTGCAACCTCGTAAAACTTTGCCAGTGGCACAATTCTGTGTTAATTACAAAAAATACACTCGAAGGATGAGACATCTTTACTTTCAGAACCATAGTACTGGCAGCGAAATAAACTCTAGATAAACATATGACGCTTGTTTGTTGTCTAACGCTGCCGCAATATTCAAGGTATATGACGACGGCATGTAAAGTAACAGGTCGATTAAAGGGACCAGACAATCCAGTGATAATAGCCCCACGTCATGAGGGTGAGACGCACGCCACCAAGACACCAAGAGCCTACACTGGAAACCATGACGTGTCCGGCCGTTTATGAGGGTCAGACATGACCTCTTCTTCCCACTTGACAATTCTGACGCTCCATCCACCAATCCATTCATCCGTCCGTTCATCCGCACATCCAACATAAAGCTGAGATGAGGTGAAATGGGACCGCATTCAAGGTACTGCACTCAAAGAGCGACGTCATTCAACGTGCTCGCCCACCGAGATACCATACCTCACGGATACCCTACTCCGACACTTGTAGTGCCTCCAGACAGTCATTGTGCTATTCCCTTTATGCCAAGCACAAGGCAGGGTAACAAAAAGTTCCATCAGTTAATGTCTTTGCGTATTTGCGTCAGGACATTCAGCTGTCTGGATGATGATGTCGACTAGACTGAGGAGGCGGTCTGTAAGTCATGACATATATGTCAGAAACACCAGCCGCATGTATGTGGCGCTTCTGCGAGAGGTACGTGCATGTATGTGGTGTTTCTGAGAGAGGCATGTGCATGTGCCTGGTGCTTTCGTGTCAGGCAGGTGAATATGTGTGGTGCTTCTGCGAGGGGCACGTGAATGTGTGTGGAGCTTTTCCGTGAGGCACGTGAATGTGTGTGATGCCTCTGCATGCGGCATATGCAAATTTAATATGCGTTTTAGTGTTACGTTTCAAAGACATAAACGTTCTTGGGAACGATGATTGTCGTCAACACGTATCTTTATTCTGATACTTGGTGGTAACATACCATTTCTTGATACTCTACTTTTTTTGTAGAGTTCATAACAAGAAGAGTGAGCCCATACCTACCAAGTTAACGAGCAGCCATTTGTTCGGTGACGAAAACATGCTCAGCGTCAGACCCTGAAACAACAATGCCAATGCCAATAAACGGCTCTCTGAACCTGTAAACAAGCCGCATTAAAGATACGAGTAGCAGAATATACTCTCTCAAATCAACGTATTTAGTATGTCTGAAATTTTAACCGATGACCGCTAAAGGGACCTATTCTGACCGGTAATCATTGTGGAGAACACTCGACGTTCTCTAAGTAGCAGACTAGTTATCTCATTGAATATCTGATGCAATTCGGTTGTGTCATATACCCATTGTTATTGATGATCAGTCCTGAATTGAAATGCCTTTTCAATGCAGCTTATCAATGACAATACAATACTATAAATCCCATGTGTATCGACATAGTTGTGATCTGTTTAGGAGTGCTATAATTACGAGAATTAATGCAACATAACGTATTGTATATGGTATAGGTTCATGTCCTTGAATTTCATAAATATGGTATGAGATGAACGAACGCCATATCATATGTTACAGCTGTCGCAATTGTAACAGAACAGTTTACAAAACGGATGTTTATAAATTCCCAAAAAGAGGGATATTATTTCCTGAAGAACAGCACTGTATCGGAGTACACAGTGAGTTACCACGACGTCATTGACCATATATATGGTTCTAACCACAGAATCACAATGCACACCTGGGATTTGAACCCACGATTGAGGAGGTAGCAGCGGACTACCGAGTGATGCTACTCTACACAACCCGTCTTTCCATAATACTCATGAACTCATTTAGAATGGAAGTTAAATGGCAGACGCTTATAAAGAAAGGAAATATGAAGTCCATTCCCTGTGCCAGTGCAATGCTCTCATCCTCTGTCCGTATTCCTCTGACCTAAAGTAGAACTATGTCCATGTCGTTTTCATCTTTTTTTATTTATATTTTTTTTTTTTTTTATTTCCCAGATGTTCATATATATTTTGCCATACACTTTCATACAGAGCATGCTTACATTTATGAGTCGTAGTTCATACAATAGCTTGCAAGGTATTCCATGTATTCTCATATACATGTATTCTGATATCTACAATTCAACAATTATAGCTTATACATTTTATATTTATTCATATACATTATGTCATGTGTATTCATATAAAGCATACGTTCTTTTATGAGTCAGTTAGTTTCATCTGCCTCAGTATTGTATCCGTATTTTCTCAACTGACGTAGCCCCCTGTAGGTATTGTTCTTACCTGACGTAGCCCCTGTAGGCATTGTTCTCACCTGACGTAGCACCCTGTAGGTATTGTTCTCACCTGACGTAGCCCCCTGTAGGCATTGTTCTCACCTGACGTAGCACCCTGTAGGTATTGTTCTCACCTGACGTAGCTGTAGGCATTGTTCTCACCTGACGTAGCACCCTGTAGGTATTGTTCTCACCTGACGTAGCACCCTGTAGGTATTGTTCTCACCTGACGTAGCACCCTGTATGTATTGTTCTCACCTGACGTAGCACCTGTAGGCATTGTTCTCACCTGACGTAGCACCCTGTAGGTATTGTTCTCACCTGACGTAGCCCCCCTGTAGGTATTGTTCTCACCTGACGTAGCAACCCTGTAGGCATTGTTCTCACCTGACGTAGCGCCCTGTAGGCATTGTTCTCACCTGACGTAGCAGCACCCTGTAGGCATTGTTCTCACCTGACGTAGCACCCTGTAGGTATTGTTCTCACCTGACGTAGCACCCTGTAGGTATTGTTCTCACCTGACGTAGCCACCCTGTAGGCATTGTTCTCACCTGACGTAGCACCCTGTAGGTATTGTTCTCACCTGACGTAGCACCCTGTAGGTATTGTTCTCACCTGACGTAGCACCCTGTAGGTATTGTTCTCACCTGACGTAGCCCCTGTAGGCATTGTTCTCACCTGACGTAGCACCCTGTAGGTATTGTTCTCACCTGACGACGTAGCACCCTGTAGCACCCTGTATTGTTCTCACCTGACGTAGCCCCTGTAGGTATTGTTCTCACCTGACGTAGCACCCTGTAGGTATTGTTCTCACCTGACGTAGCACCCTGTAGGCATTGTTCTCACCTGACGTAGCACCCTGTAGGTATTGTTCTCACCTGACGTAGCACCCTGTAGGTATTGTTCTCACCTGACGTAGCACCCTGTAGGTATTGTTCTCACCTGACGTAGCACACTGTAGGTATTGTTCTCACCTGACGTAGCACCCTGTAGGCATTGTTCTCACCTGACGTAGCACCCTGTAGGTATTGTTCTCACCTGACGTAGCACCCTGTAGGTATTGTTCTCACCTGACGTAGCACCCTGTAGGTATTGTTCTCACCTGACGTAGCCCCCTGTAGGTATTGTTCTCACCTGACGTAGCACCCTGTAGGTGGTTGTAGCCCCTGTAGGTATTGTTCTCACCTGACGTAGCCCCCCCCTGTAGGTATTGTTCTCACCTGACGTAGCACCCTGTGGGTATTCTCACCTGACGTAGCCCCTGTATTCTCACCTGACGTAGCACCCTGTAGGTATTGTTCTCACCTGACGTAGCACCACTGTAGGTATTGTTCTCACCTGACGTAGCACCCTGTGGGCCCTGTATTGTTCTCACCTGACGTAGCCCCCTGTAGGCATTGTTCTCACCTGACGTAGCACCCTGTAGGTATTGTTCTCACCTGACGTAGCACCCTGTAGGTATTGTTCTCACCTGACGTAGCACCCTGTAGGTATTGTTCTCACCTGACGTAGCACCCTGTAGGCATTTCCTGGCTCACCTGACGTAGCACCCTGTAGGTATTGTTCTCACCTGACGTAGCACCCTGTAGGCATTGTTCTCACCTGACGTAGCACCCTGTCTGTATTGTTCTTGGAACAGATGACGATGAAGGTGAAGGTGTACGAGTCCCTCATTTCCTTCAGTTCCTGCCTCAGGTCCAAGTCCGACTCAGCTGATGTTGGGTCCGTCACCCTGAACGACCGAACCTCCACTTCCCACTTCCGCATAACCCTCTCCAGAATTACCGCACCTACATAGACAGTTTAAAATAAAGAAACGAACAAAATCCAGAAACGTATAGAACGTATGTGCCAGAGTGACAATGCCCAGTCAAGATTACTGGACCAGAAAATCCAGTGACAAGATGGGGTTGATTATTCTGATTATGTTTGAAATAATAAAGACATGTTTATTTTTAACTCCACTTTCCAGTTCCATATTGGTCCTATAAAGGTTAATGGTTATTCTGATTTCTGATTGACTACTCAGAAGGTGACATTGTAACACTGCTATGTGTGCCGAAGTACAAGGTTGTTACAAAGCTGAAGGGGAATTAAGAGAGCAACACACCCTAACATACAGCTTTAACTAAACCATACACCATTACTGTTGTGGCCCAGAAACAACTTTCGTACCTGACACACGCACGCACGCACGCACGCACGCACACACAGACACACACACACACACACACACAGACAGAGATAGAGGTAGAGGTACCGCAAACAAAATATTCCCTCATATATCGACAAATGATCTTGAATTGGTCACATGCAGATGCATTGTTTCCTACACAGTATTTCGTTTGTACTCATTTCAACCCTCATCCATAAAATATCACAGTCAAAATATTTGGGTAATATTACTGAAGCCCATGCAATTTGTTCACAATTTTTCTATTCATCTTAATAAGCATACAAATTAAAGAATTGCCTTTAAGGAAGAAAGTACAACATAGAATTATATATATTTTTAAATACCCCAAATACCATGTCCTACCTTCGTATGAGTCGTGAATGACGGCGATCTTGTCAAAGGCGTAGTAGTCGGCGAGGTCCAGCACGGCCCTTGAGAAGACCCTGGCGTCGTGGAAGAACTGGTACATGTATTTGGTGTCTTCCTGGTCTTCAGGGGTCAAGGACATCACGTAGTAGTTGATCTTTAGTTGTTTCGTCACGGTGGCGTACACACTGTTGTAGTTGCCAATGATGGCGTCCACAGATGTGTCCAACAATTCCTGGTGAGCTACAATGAAGATGTAATATTTTTTATGTAAAGTCATTCTGGAGGCTGGTTTAACGGTCTAAACTCAAGTAGTAAGAGCAATCGTTAAGTGTTATATTGATGTACGTAATCGAATTATGGCTTGGGTGATTTGTGTTTATCGTCCTTTTTCAGCATCTCACATCTCAGCATTCACGCTGTCTCAGTTTAAAGGAGAGGAAGCCCGTTGTACAGGTCTTAGCCATTTCCCAACGTTAGTGAAACCCATGGGAGCGCGTATGGTACATGCAAAGTGAGTGAGTGAGTGAGGTTTTACGCCGCTTTTTGCTATATTCCTGCAATATCATGACAGGGGATTCCATGTGGGGAGGTTTGCCAGCCGTATTATTTAAAAGATGAATTGTGATCTTAGCTTTCACTGCTAACTGCTATGTATTCAGACGATTAAATATGTTTTTTTCATGTACTATTATATACTTCTCAAAAGCAGTTATTGTATTTATAGCTTATGAGGTACAACGATGCTAGTATATTAGTGTCACAAACGTAAATTGTGTTTTAAATCCATATGCAAAGTGTCTCTCGAATCCCTCCATGTAAAAATAAGCTGGGTGTAATGACATTAAGTACTTAATATGACCAGTTAGCTCCACAGTGAGTGAGTGAGTGTTTAGATCGCCAAAAACAGTGCATGGTGAGGACAGTCTCCACACCACTATTCACGCATTTGCCCATCATTGTCAAAACGTTTCAGTTTGTCATGGTCCTACAGACACCTTATCGATAACCTACCACATTGTAAGGGGACATACTGAAGGTATTATGCAAACTTTAATTACATGGCCAAGGAGTTTTTTAAGTTGTTTACAAAACAGGGGTCGCACTTTATTACCTGCCATGTATTATTCCCGTTCAATGTAACCCCTGAACATGGGTCTGCTTATTTGGGGAGGGAAGCCCCCCGACTGTCACAGGCCCTTGACGTCTACTTTGACGGTGAAACCAGTAGCAATGTATGAACTCACAGTGTCCCATTGTCCCATTGTGGCGTTCTGGTTAACTTTGTTTGATCTTGTTTTGAAGACAACGAAACCAGGTGCAAGGTGTCATTTCAAGGAGTCCATAGTATGGTGCTAACAGTCCAAGGAAAGTTGGGCCCAGACACCATTACATACAGACGTGGGAAAACAGCTAGAATACTGTATTGTTGGCAGCGGATTAAATCTACATACATTCACTGCCGCAGCTAATCTCACCTTTCTTGATGTTATTATAGGTGTAGTGTCTGTAGTTGGTGATGTTGAGGCGAGTCACTTGAAACCCTTCCGGAGCGTCCACGAGGTCGAAGATGTTGTTATCAACAGACGAATCAATAACACCTGTAATTTATCAACAATACCTGTAATATATCAATAATACTGTAGCATGTCAATAATACTGAATATATCAGTAATACCTGTAATAAATTGATAATCAATGTAATATATCAATTATACTGTCATATATCAATAATACATGTAAGAAATTAATACTACATGTAATATATCAATACTGACTGACTGACTGACTGACTAAGTGACTGAGTTTGGTTTTACGCCGCTTTTAGCAATATTCCAGCAACATCACGGCGGGGGACACCAGAAAAGGCCTTCACACATTGTACCCATGTGGGGATTCGAACCCGGATCTTCAGCGTGACGAGCCAACGCTTAATGTACCAATACTTATGTAATATATCAATAATACATGTAAGAAGTTAATACTACATGTAATACATTGGATATCAATAATACTGTAATATATCAATGATACTGTAATATATCAATGATACATTTATCATATCAATACTACCGTAATGTATCAATAATACCTATAATAAATTAAAAACTCGAGTAATATATCAATGATACCCATATAATAATGATACTGTAATATATCAATGATACATTTATCATATCAATACTACTGTAATGTATCAATAATACCTGTAATAAATTAATAATTCAGTAATCTATCAATAATACTGTCATATATCAATAATTCAGTAATATATCAATAATACTGTAATATATCAATAATTCAGTAATATATCAATAATACTGTAATATATCAATAATACCTGTCATAAGTTGATAATACAATATATCAATAATACATAATATATCAATAATACTGTAATATATCAATAATACCTGTAATATATCAATATATCACTGTAATATATCATAATAAATATATCAATAATACTGTAATATATCAATGATACATAAGTTGATAATACATATATCAATAATACTGTAATATATCAATAATACTGTAATATATCAATAATACAGTAATATATCAATAATACAATAATACTGTAATATATCAGTAATATATCAATATATACAATAATACTGTAATATATCAATAATTCAGTAATATATCAATAATACTGTAATATATCAATAATACTGTAATATATCAATAATACTGTAATATATCAATAATACTGTAATATATCAATAATACTGTAATATATCAGTAATACTGTAATATATCAGTAATAACTGTAATATAGTAATAAAACCTGTTGATATCAGTCACATCTGTAACATATCAACAATACCTGAAATAGGTCCGTGGTTCCTAAAATGGATCAATACTACCTAATATCAATAACCGGTCAATAATACATGTAATAGTTTACGAATACCTGAAACAGATCAATAACACATATGGATGAATGCTTTCAGGTCTTACTTTCCTTGGGAGATATGATTAGTTCGGGAAATCCAGCTCATTCATATTCATGGGTGAATACTGTAACATTTAAACGTGTACTTTTTGTTATTCAATTACCATGTTTAAATCGAAAACATTTGCACGCTGCTTGAGACCCCAAGGGAACTATCTCTTATGTTGGGTATTTCTCAATGTGGGGATATCATCGGTTTAGATGATTATTCCTAAATTTCCATATTTTTGTTCCAGAAAAAACCATTCTATGTATTTCATTAATGCTATTCATCATGTAACGTGCATATAGGGGTATGTGAGGAATGAGGTATGGCTTCAGACCGCATTTGGTAATATTTCAGCAATATTATTGCGGGGTCACCAGACATGACTTCCATACCTTGGAACTATGGGAAATGGGAAATCAAGCCAATCAATCATGAGCGAATGATTGAGCTACTAGTAAAATGGATAATGACACTGTTTTGAGAGGTCATTCTCGCCATTGTGACCAAATGTTGAAGAATGAAAAGATGAATACAGGGTGTCTTAAGAAAATAAAACATACATTATAGAGATGAAAAACCCATCTGCACTGCAGACCAAACACAACACTGCAACACATATCCTTTCTGCCGTCACTTTAATAAAGTTTAACATTCTGTAGGTATTTATGTAGGGTTACATTAGCTCCTTTCTGCCATCACTGTGATAAAGTTTAAAATTATGTAGGTATTTATATATGGTTACATTAGCTCCTTTCTGCCGTCACTTTGATAAAGTTTAAAATTCTGTAGGTATTTATCTAGGGTTACATTAGCTCCTTTCTGCCGTCACTTTGATAAAGTTTAAAATTCTGTAGGTATTTATCTAGGGTTACAGTAGCAATGTCTTATTTTCTGATGTTCATATTTAAATGCCATATATTAGGTTTTCGTATTTTAGTGCTCATGAAGTTCCTTTGAGATAAGATAGTCTTGTCTTGTCTCATTTTATATCATATCTCATCGTTTTGACTTTGGTAAACTGTTACAGTTGTATTGCCAATGGGCTCGGGCATTATTGCTATATATTGTTAGCGTATTGGAATGTTTCATATAACAGTAAGAGAGTTTGAGTTTAGCAGTTTACCATGCAGAAATATGGCCAGCGTCTTCCACCACTGTACGCGTGTTTCTGCTCCCCTCTGTTCTCAGTCCTGGAACTTCAGACAGAATGCACACCCCTTGTACAAACAACATCCACCCAAGCGTACCAACTTCATCCACACCCATGAACCACCCGCACCAATGTACCAACAACACATAAGTATCAGCCACACCCATGTACCAACAACACCCACATCCATGTACAAACATCACCCATATCCAGACACCAACATCACCCATGTACCAACATCACCCATGTACCAACAACACCCACACCCATGTACCAACATCACCCATGTACCTACATCACCCACACCCATGTACCAACATCACCCATGTACTTACATCACCCACACCCATGTACCAACATCACCCATGTACCAACATCACCTATGTACAAACATCACCCACAACCATGTACCAACAATACCCACAGCCATGTACCAACATCAGCCATGTACCAACACCCACACCCACACCCACACCCATGCACCAGTATCCCAATGTTGCTCCTGCCAGAGGGCCCATATGCTGGCGGTTGTTGTCACATGTTTGGCGCGTGGTATCAGTGGCATTTCCCCCGAGGGACCGCTACGTGCGGTGCATTATACGACGGTTAGAGAAATTATAGTACTCATTATTACAAAGCAAACATGTAGGAACTGTGGTTGTTCAAACACAGAGCCATATGTCGGTGTGGTTGACCTGCATAGAGCACCATGGCTTGCAGGACCTCTTGGAGAAGATTGCAAATGGATGGTTTAGATTGTATACACGATATTGTCAACCTCTTTTACAAATGTCTACAATCGATACTGAATTCGTACATTGTGTTATTTCTGTTATTACGGGCAAAATTTAATTCGGTAAATGAAAACTATTATTTCTCTCGTAAAACTGGAACGATTTATAAATAAGTAATTGGATCTGTTAATTCAGTTTTTAGCTTGTATTAACAACAATTCACAGCAAATTAGAAGTACTTTCCTTACGCGTTGGTTAAATGTCTGGTTATTGCGTGACCGAGCATAGTGTATTAGTGAGTACCCTGGCCTTATAACCCATATAGATTATTGCCACGTTAATGTAACATGGATTGAGTGAGTGAGTGACTATGGCTTTACGCCGCTTTTAGCAATATTCCAGAAATATCGCGGCGGGGGACACCAGAAACAGGCTTCACACACTGTACCCATGTGGGGAATCGAACCTGGATCTTCGGCGTGACGAGCAAACGCTTTAACCACTACCCCCAAACTGTATTATAAGGGGATAGCTTCTTACCCAGGTGACATACATGTATGAACAGTATGTTCCTTTTGAAATGTAATTAGTATACAAGTGTATATAGGGAAATATCGTGTACATGTAGATCTACATGCATATACTAAACACCAACACTACTACAACGAATTGTCTCTGCTAAGTTAAAGTGTTAAAGGTTTTCAGTGTAGTACACGGACTAAAATAGACATGATTCAATAAGTGATAGGTCAATTACGAACGCTGGTAGGTCAGTGAAATTGTGCAAGCTATTAAACTGTTGAAATCCTTGGTGTAAGCACATTGTAATTACAGTACAACAATTACAATTATTAGTACAGAGCGTTTGCATTCCAATTTACATTCTCACTCGTGAGACCGCTGGTGTGGCCTAGCGGATACAGCGTCTGACCAGAGAGTGGGTGGTCGGTGGTTCAATCCCGTACCGTGTTACACCAAAAGACTTTAAGTGGCGGTACTTCTTGTTACGGTAATGAAGACGTGGCATTAATGGGCTAAAACACACAGAGTACAACAGAACACACAGAGAGAGCACACACACAAAGCGTCAAAACAGTTAATACAGTCGTGGCCACGTACACATAACCATGAAGTGATAATTAATCATATACGAGAGAGGGGAGAGAGAGAGAGAGAGAGAGAGAGAGAGAGAGAGAGAGAGAGAGAGAGAGAGAGAGAGAGAGAGAGAGAGAGAGAGAGAGAGAGAGAGAGAGAGAGAGAGAGAGAGAGAGAGAGAGAGAGAGAGAGAGAGAGAGATTACAGACAGTATCCCACAACGATCGGTATTAGTAATTGACATGCCCCAAGAGGGATGAATGATTTCTGCCGTGCTTCCGCACATTAAGCGCATCATATATTGCCATTTGCTGATAATGCATAGGACTGTTTACCTTACGACTATCTATCAGTAACACACTATTTAAGCTTCCTCATAACTCTCTCCCGGGACCCCAACACGCGAAGTACCTGTCTGTATATTGTCAATACAACGATGGCAGGGCTTGCGTTCAAATCAATATGGCACCTATGTATAAAATGACGTATATAAATATTAATATATGTTCACAAAAGTAACTAAAGTTAAAATGAGTCTATATGTAAACAGTTTGTGTTGAGTATAATATTTGAGAGGTGAACCTGGACAAGATTCCATTAACACTTCACATGTAAAGCTGGCATTGATAAAAATAATGGCTTCATCCATGATCTTTGCGTACTAACAGGCT